AATGCAGATATGGATATGACTCCCGGACCCTCCGTTCAGTTGCCAGAAAAACGAAAGGCTTGTTTTCCAGCCCCTAACTGTTATCTAGAAATTATAAGCTTTACTGTCTTGGATGAACTAGGTCACACAGGGATATGCTTATCATGGGGCTGGCAAAGAGCAGGTGTATGATAGAAGCTGGTATTCTCACCATCTTTAATTTTAAGTCTTGTCCTTCCTTCCCAGATTCGGTTGCCATGTAAGAAGTTCAGGCTGTTGAGTTAAAGGCCATGTGAAGTAAAGCTTTGGAGAACACACAGCCATCCTGGATGCCAGTTGAATGCAGTCATCTGAGTGACTATTGCTCACTGAACATAGAGAAGACACAAGCCACCCCTTCTGGGTTGTGCCTAGGTTGTGGGATCAGGTGTGATAAATGATTGTATTTCAGGCAACTAGGTTTTGTCATGGATTGTTACATAGCAGAAACTGGAGCAAGAACCAACCTTGGTATACACAAAGAGGAGTGTAAGCCCTTGGCCTGGCATTAAATAGCATTTCCTAACCCCACAAGCTAGCCATTTCTGGGCAACAATTTACTTGGTCCACCCTGTCCTCACTATAGGCTATCCCCAAATTAAAACACACAGAGAACAACTTTTGAATTGCAACACTTCACACCAAAACAAACGAATAAACAAACAGAAAACCAAGCACCTCATATTTGTCTTTCCAACTATGGCTCCCTTTTGCCGTGGGGAGCAGAATCCCACCAGAGAGAATTCTGAACCTTCCCTCCTCTCTCATGTGTTGGAAAGAAGTGCTACTTGCCTCTAGTTTCTTCTGTAGTCTGTGATCCCTGGGGAACTCTCTCCTACTTCTAAGATCAGATCTATGAGAATTCTCAAGTTGCCTTTGGCGTGAGCAGTCTTTGGGTATACATAACTGGCCCCATTGTGTGTGGGGAAATTTTCTTTCTGTCCAGTCTACATTCCCACGTGGTCACATGATGGGCATTAGATGTGTTTCCACAGGTCAAGGTGTGAGGAATATTCAGTAAAGAGGACAAGCTGGCTTCTATCTGCTATCACCTGGCTGTATAACCTTTAACAAAAGAATTTCCCTCTCTGGGAAAAAGCTATATGGTAAGGAGTCTTGACCTGTGTCTTTGGGTGAGCAAAATTGTGTGTGTGTGTGTGTGTGTGTGTGTGTGTGTGTGTGTGTTCATGTGTGCATGCATAGGTGTTTGTTGGTATGTGTGCATGTGTGTGATTTGTATATGGAGGGGTACAGACAGGTTTTTCTGGGAAACAGATTTAGAACACACAGTAAATTCTCAAGGAGGCTGTAATGTAAAAAATATCACAAGTGGTTTGGATAGTCTGTTAACCTACATTCATTTGTGGATATTCTGCCTGACTTCCAAGGAGACCTGCCTCCTGAAGTATACTTCTCCCTGTCTCTTTCATCACTTTTTTAGTTGTTTTGAGGATGATGAAGTATAAGGCAAACAAGGTAACTCAATGTATGGTGCTAGTGAAGCCAGCAAGTCAGCAAATGCAGCTCAAGACACAGAAAGAGTCCCAAGCCCTGCAGCCTGCACACCAGGCCTCGTCTGCCACAATCAGACTCTCATTCATGCTTCTTCACCAAAACAAAGATGTGTCCCAGTTAGACCCCGAACCACCCGCGCAGAAGCCAGACTTGTCAAATTTGAGTCTATTGTTGTCTACAGCTCTGATGAGATGCCCTTGGCTTCCCCTTAGCACAGCTGGTGAAGAAGCTGGACAATGGTGAAGAGTCCTGGCTTGGCTCCAGACTGAGTTCAAATCCCAGCCCTGCTCAGTTCTATTAGCTACAAACTGACACAAGGCACTAAGCCTGAACACTTCCTCCTCAGCAGAAAGAGGTCAGGAATCTACATTACAGAGGTTTTGTGGTCATTAAATGATCGATGAAGACAATTCAATTTCAGTAAATGCCCAATCAATGTTAAGAACTATTATAAAGCAAGAGAGAAAGATGGAAAATTAAGGGATGTGAGAAGTGGTGCTGGGCTTCGCCCCCCATCCCTGCTGACAATCACTAGGTTCAGCTATTTATAAAAAAGAAAGTACACTAAGAATTATCAAACCATTGGGCAAATGCCACAGGCCAGCTAGTCTACATACTTCACACCTCTCAAAACCAAATCAGGTCTCAGTTGAGATCTTGGGCTCCTAAGAGTGTTTGTCAAGCTGGGTAGTTGTGGTACACCCTTAATCCCAGCACTTGGGAAGCAGAGTCTGGCGATCTCTGTAAGTTCAAGGCCAGGCTGGTCTACAATTGAGTTCCAGGACAGCCAAGGCTACACAGAGAAACTCTATCCTCAAAAAACAACACAAGACAAAACAAAGAAGAGGATCTGCCCAAGTCTGGGAGTACGGGCTGGGATGCAGGGGCGAGGGCACCTCAGGCTTGCTGCTTACTTGCTGTGCTTGATGTGCTGTCTGTCTTCCAGTCTCCACGTCTCAGCTCTGTCCTGGGCGGAAACACGCTCTTTCTGGGGCCGCTCTCATAAACTCCAAACTCCACTTTTCCAGGCAGGTGCTGAGAATGCCGGATGGGGACTGTGATCTCCAGATCTGGAATCGGAAGGAAGAAGGAGATTCAGGCCGGCTGCCATTGCAACATTGTCTCTCTTGCTCACTGTCCACTGTCTCCTGGGCCTGGGCCTGGAGGAGAGAGGGAGATCCTGGGGTCTTGTCCCGCTGCAGCACTGAAAAGCCATAGAATCCAGCCTGGCCCAGCAGGGGGGAATGGATGGCAGAGCATGAGAAATGGATAGAAGAGCTCCTCCACCTCATAGAGAGGAAAGGATACACTTAGGTAAGGCTTGGGCTCCCAGCCCCATCACTTGGCTGCACGAAGCCCACATCTCTGAATTAGTCCCCGTCTAAGGAGGAGATCACGAACACCACTGATGGTTGGAAACCGTCCCATGCACAAGCTCATTCCAAGAGGCCCCATATTTTTAGTTGACTGAGTCCTCATAAAACCCAAGAAACCACCAGGCGTTGGTGGCGCACGCCTTTAATCCCAGCACTCGGGAGGCAGAAGCAGGCAGATCTCTGTGAGTTTGAGGCCAGCCTGGTCCCCAGATCGAGTGCCAGGATAGGCTCCAAAGCTACACAGAGAAACCCTGTCTCAAAAAACCAAAAAAAAAAAAAAAAAAAAAAAAAAAAAAAAAAAAAAGAAAGAAAACACAAGAAACCAGGTCCATTACTATCATCCCCAGAAGAAATGAAGACACTGAAGAGTAAAGCTGCATCCCCAATGAACAGCCAGAAGGACCAAACTGAGACTGAGAACCCTGACTCTGGAGTCCAGGCTCTTCCCCACTCCTAGGGTCAAGGGCCTCTTGCTCCCTGCATTTGTTATGGCTGACCGGTGAGGGGGTATGGGATGGGCAACCTATCCTGACAACAGTGGCCCGGGGAGTGTGTGACCAGAGTCCTCCATGCAGAGAAATACTGTGACTTCTGAGGGTAAAGGCACAGTCTGTACCCAGCTCAGGGTCGACCTGACCTCTTCAAGGCTGGGCTCTGCCAATGGTTTGGTCTTTGGCCCTCCTGAGATTTCCACCCCATGGTGCAGGGAGCATAAGAACTCATTCTAGTGGGCAGAATGAAATGCCTGCTGTATCACCAGCTTCCTCCCCAGAGGGGTGTGAGTGTGAGGCAGGTCATAAAGGAAGCCATAAGAACAAGGGTGAAAGAGGGGGGTGCTTTGGGACTGTGTGCTCTCTTCCGGGTACTGCCTCTCTTCACCACTCTGTTCATCCATGGAACAAGTGTAGTAGGAAATTCAGCAGTGACTCCTCGTGCCAAAGCCAGAGACCAGCCGAGAAAGTTAATGAATAAACTAGAACAATACGAAAGAGCAATGTGAGGGTGGGATGGACGGGACACAGTGCCAACCACCTGAAAGAACACCTGAAGTGTGGATTACTGGTCTTCACAGGCCCCCAGCCTTTCTCATTCTAGAGAAACTGGTTCCAGGAGTAGATCATCAGGGGCCTGGTGATAGCCAGCTCCTTCATGCCATGGGGAGTAGTTTTTGGTCCCAGGTCTTTGGTTACACCCGGAAGCCCTTCCCATGCTCACTGCTCTGGGGCACAGAGCATGGCCAAGGCAGGCTTTTATGGGGTGAACAGTGAGTCCCAAAGTCTTCCCTTTCCTTCTCAGCTTTTATTTACATTTTTAAAAAGTCGATTTAGTCCAGTCTGACTAAATTAATTTTAAAGTGGTATTTTCCCACCCTCAACCAGTTCTATAAAGAAGGAAAGTAAAATACACAGGAAGAAAAAGACCAGAGGTCAAAGGTTCAAAAAACTCAGGGCCAGGCTCAATGTTTCTAGAACACCCCCACTCTTTGCTTGAAGGTACAATATCAGGAACAATTTTCACGATTAGATTACAGCTTTCCTGAACTGTATTCATCTGCACTTCCCTTTGTGCTTTGGGACTTTTCCATTCAGTAGGTGATTACAATCCTATAAGGAAAACGAGCGACACACTGGGTAAGAGAATGGCCCCAGATACAGAAGAGATTAGCAAAGACACAAGGAGCAGAACCCAGTTTCCTGGGCCTCAGCTGGCTCTGCCTCCCAGGACACCCCCAGAACACAAATATTGACTGTCTTCCTGGGGCGGGGCATAGCATCCAACAAGCTACACGTTGGCAGCTGATTTCCTGTGCTACCGACTCCAGGTACTACAAAGAGCAAAGCTACTTCCTGGGGTTGAAGACCAGGAATGGAGCATCCATTTTCAAGGATCCTTGGTCCTAGGTGTTCCAACCCCAATTAAAGCAAAATGAGAGTTATTTTCTAAAGCAACTGGAGTCTCCAAATTTGAGTCAGCCTGGGTTTAGAGTGAGTTACATTCTTAGAAAAGGTCTCTCAGATGGAAGTGCCACCCATCAACCCCGAAGTTCTTATTGGTCAGCAAGATGTATGCTAATGGTTTTCTTAAAAAAAAAAGATCGTATTTATTTATTATGTATACAACATTCTGCTTCCATGTATATCTGCACACCAGAAGAGGGCGCCAGATCTCATAATGGATGGTTGTGAGCCACCATGTGGTTGCTGGGAACTGAACTCAGGACCTCTGGAAGAGCAGTCAGTGCTCTTAACCTCTGAGCCATCTCTCCAGACCCCACCAATGGTTTTCGGTGGTTTTGGTGCAACAGAATTATTTTCTCCAGTGGAGACAGAAGCTTGGCACTGAAGACACATTTTCAAAAGGAACCGTGATGGCCAAAGAAGAGTGACTGACCTCCACCCTGTGGATCCTAATCTACTTCTTCTCTCCCAACCCCATGCAGTTCTTAGCCTGGCCCCATAAGAATACACATAGAGACCCCGAGGCCCCTAAGGAGTGCAGTGTGAAAACCCGCAGACTAGGACATTGCAAGTCAATACACAAATTAATAACAGAAGTTTACAGAGTTCAATAAGTCATAGCTACCCAACCATAAATGATGCCTTTTCTTTGGCAGGTGCTCTGATACCTCCCACCTCACCCTGAAGGACAGAGTCCAACTTCTTAATACCCAGTGCATGATGTCCCTGGCCAGAATAAGGCACCAGATCTCCTAGAACTGGAGTTATAAATAGCTGTAAGCTATCATGTAGGTTCTGGAAGCCACCTGGGTCCTATGAAAGAACAGCAAGTCTTCTTAACCCCTGAGCCATCTCTCCAGCCCTGCTATTTATATTTTACCACAATAAAAATTAAAAGCAAGGGGGCCGGAGAGATGGCTCAGTGGTCAAGAGCACTGGCTGCTCTTCCAGAGCACCCAGAACCCACATGGCAGCTCACAACTGTCTGTAACTCTAGCTCTAGGGGACCTGACTACCTTAACACCAATGCACATAAAAATAAAATTAAATAAAAATTAAAAGCAAGGATACTCCTCCCCAGATGGGCTTTCTGCCATCCTGACCCATCCCCCTGTGTCTGTTTGAGTTGGACCTGGAATATCCCCTAAAGACCCACGTGCTAAGGGGCTGGCCCCTCGATGGGACTGCTTGGAGGTGGTGGAAGCTTTAAAAGGCAGAGCCAAGTAAAGGCCTTTAGGTTATTGGAGGTCACCCTTGAAGGGGACAACGAGACCCCAGCTCTTTCCCCTTTCTGCTTCCATTCCCAGCTAGGAGACGATTTTGTTTTGCCACACATTCCTGCTATGATATGCAACCCCATCCCAGGTCACAACAAAACAGAGTAACCAATCACAGACTCAACACTGCAAAACTGTAAGCCAAAATAAACCTGTTTTTCTTTTCTTTAAAAAAAAAAAGACCATTTTGTTGGGCAAGGGTGGCGCATGCCTTTGTGGGGCACAGGCAGGCAGATCTCTGAATTTGAGGCTAGCCTGGTCTACAGAGAGAGTTGTAGGACAGCCAGGGCTACACAGAGAAAGCTTGTCTCAAAACCCAAAATAAAATTTTATTTATGGTAGGCAGAGGGTAGACACGTGTGCCATGGCATGACAGTGAAGTTCAGATGACAACCTGAAAGACTTAGTTCTCTCCCCCATCACGTGGATCCTGAGGATCAAACTTGGGCCACCAGACTTAGCAATAGGGGCCTTTTAGCCACTGAGTCATCTCCATGGCCCGGGCCTTCCTTATTTATAACTTGATTATCTCAGTTATTTGTTACAGTAATGGAAAGTTAACTAACACAGTGTCCAAAGATACATGGCTTAATCTTTTCATAGTAATGGCACTAATTATAGTCACTGACATAGAAATAGTGAAAATTATTACCCCTCCCCAAAGCAAAATTCCATGTCAGAAGATCCAGAAATGGGGTGGGGGCTGGTCATGCTTCTTCACACACTGATCATTCTGATATACACTATATGTTTTAGTGGGTGGAAACCATTATTTAGAAGCTGAAAAGCCTTGGGTGAACTTTGTGGGGCTGGCCTAGAACTTGTGATCTCCCTGATTTACCCTTCCAAGTGCGGGATTACAGGTGTGTGTCACAGTGCTCAGACTGAACTCAGTAAAATATTTCAAAACTTAGGACCTTTGGGCTGGTCAAGTCCCAGCCCAGAGCACTTACTCTGGGAGGCTCTGTTCCAGAGGACACCAGTCCAAATGTAGGGCCTCTGTGGATTCAGGGGAAATTGCCATTTTTAGAGATCTTCCATGTGCCAGGCCTGTGCTAGGCACAGGATGCAACCATACTTGCCCATTGCAGCACCCCTGTTAACTTCCCATTTTGCAGGTAAGGACTATGGCTCAGGGAAGTAAAAAGTATTTTGCCTGTAATTCCAAAGCAATTAGCAGTATGCAGAACTCCAACCCCAAACTTGCTTGCCCCATGGCCATATCTGTGCCACTCTGCTCCTCAGTGTGGGTAGGTGCTGACCACTGACCCCTGAGTGCATGTGGCTGTACCCTCCCAGCCTTTGGACACTAAGGTCACAGACAAATCACAGGCCAATGTGGCCAATGCTTTTTTTTTTGTCTTGTTTTGTTTGTTGTTTTTCGAGACAGGGTTTCTCTGTGGCTTTGGAGGCTGTCCTGGCACTCGCTCTTGTAGACCAGGCTGGTCTCGAACTCACAGAGATCCACCTGTCTCTGCCTCCTGAGTGCTGGGATTAAAGGCGCGCCACCAACACCCGGCTGTGGTCAATGCTTAAAGGCTTGACAATCTCACTCCCTTGGTGCTTCTGTCTTTGCATGGATATACTCAAAACTTCTAAAAAGCACTTCAGTCCTTCATCACCTAGAGCCCTATTTTCTGAGCCCAGGTGACTGCAGATCATGAGCCTGACTTCCCACCAGGTCAGCTCTCTCCTCCTCTCTATGCAGACATGATGAGCCTGGGGTGGGGGAGGGTGATACATTTAAAATCTAGACACTCAAAAAGAAGTGCTACGATGAGCTCTCTGACCCCTCTTCCCTAGTCAAAATCATGAATATTCTCTAAGCCAACTATTTTTGAAAAGACATGGTGCTAGGCATCATGGGAAACCCACACCTGCATAAGTATAAAGACCACTAAGTCATAAACTAGCAGATGATCACATACAGTGGGTCCTGGGTTTCTTCTTGAGCTGGTGCTGACACTTGGTGGCTGTGTGGAATGACTGGTGTCAGCAGACGTTTGATTGAAACCTGTCATGCCAATACAGACGTCCTGAGCTCCGTCAGGACTATGATGCAGACTGAGGAGCCAGAGGGCACAAAACATGTATGTCCCTGCCATCGCGGGGCTTATAGTAAGAGGGGGGAGGGATGCTGGTCCATGGCCAGACTAAGGAAATCCTGGTCCATGCTATAGGGGCATAAGGAAAATAAGAGAATAGGAAGCAAGGTATAGGGACTCATCTAAAATATAAAAATGTCAGAGAAGCCTCTTTGGTGGGTGAGAGGAGGCAGCAGGTAGGGATGTGGAGGAAAGCAGCAAGTGCAAAGGCCCTGGGGGAGAGCTGTGCTTGCTTGTTAGAGCAACATGAAGGGGTTATTAATGCCCAGGCCCAGGTTGGAGCCATGGAGAATGAGTACAAGGGTCACATAATGTGGGGCCTTGGTGACCACAACAGAAAGTCTATCTTTCCTCTGAGTGGGACAGGAGCCCCTTGAGTGCTTAGAGCAGAGGGGGACATACTCTAATATTTTATTTCTGGCATTATTGCTATTATTTTTAATTATGCGTCTGTGTGTGATGCTGGTGTGTACGTGAGTGCAGTTCCCCACAGAAGCCAGAAGAGGCAATAGATCCCTTGGATTTGGAGTTACAGGTGGTTGTGAATCACCTATATGGATGCTAGAGACCAACCTTAGGGCTTCTAAAAAAGCAACACAAACTTTTAACCACGGGGCCATCCTTCTAGCACCTAGTGGTTTGTTGTTTTTAAAATATTTTAAAATATAATTAATTAGTTTAGTGATAGGGTCTAATTGTGTAGACAAGTCTCAAATTCACAGAGATCTGTCTCCATTGCATAAGCACTAGGATTAAAGTCATTTGTCATTATACCCAGCCATATGATACTTGATTTATAAAAGGACACTGGCTCTAGGTTGGGGGATGAATTGCAGAGGGGTGAGAGTGGGCAAGGGTAGGGATGAGTGCAGAAAATACTGTACTAGTTCCACCAAGAGATGGTGGTGGAGAAACAGCACAGGAGAAATAGCCAAATTTAGGTTGCACCTTGGAGCTAGAATCCCAGGAATGAAGAAATGAATTAACAACAATTACGGCAGTAAAGAGACATGCCAGGGACAACAGGCTCTCCAGATGTCCTGACAAAGGACACAATACAGAAGCCTACAGTGGCCCAGAGCCTTCTCAGAGAAGGGGCCCCCAGTTATAAGAACTCAGGTGTGGAGGAAGATGCCTGAGCAAGAAACCTGTGGGGGAAATACCCATGAGAAGCCAACTGATGACAGTTCAACACACAAGTAGGGCTGGATTTTGCTTAATTCCATAAGGTAAGGGGCTCCTACAGGAGCCTTTCTTGCCTGCTCCTCTTGCCAAAAAGCTGGCAAGGTCCTTGCTCAGGATGCTTGGTGTCACAAGGCTGGTGTCATAAGAGGTTTGGAGGGAACAGAAGAGCCCATCCATAGTGTATGCAACAGCCACTCACACCCTACTATTGCATAGTGTGCCCTCAGACACTGGTGGCAAAGGCTGCCATTCTCAGGACAGTGGGGCTTTCTTGGCTCTGTTAGCCCCTACACTCTCCTAATTGTCAAGGTTGGAGGCAAGAGAGAAATTATAACTGTCCTTTTTGGGTGAGAGGGTCTTCTAACCATTCACTCCCTCGTTGGCTGGGCATGCCTTTCCTGGCACTTCAGATTTACAGAAGGGACAAGACAGAACCATCATCTCATGGCTCTCCCCATCTAGTGAAGGGCCCAGATATGCAGACAGGTGCTGGACAAGCAGTCTGTCCACTCAGGCCACAGCAGAAGGGACAGTCGAGGATGGCAGCAACAGCCACTCCCTGGTGACGCAGCACACCGAGAAGCCACCTACCTGCATGCTTTCCCGATTTCTGCTTCTCTCTCTGTCGTCGGGTGATGCTGTCTCTTAGTCTTTTAAGATTTTCCTGGAAAATAGTGTATTTGTTGTTTAAGTATCCAGCAGAGCGATACCTTTTGGACATTAGAATTCCATTCTTATTTTATGCCCTCTGCAGGGGCTAGCACACTACAGTCACTTCTTTCAAGACTGCTGCCAGGCAAACTGAAGTCTTCGATAAACTGTGCCTGAGATGTGCCATTTTTTTCTACAGTGGAGTGTGCTTCCAGATGCCCAGTCCCATTCTCAGCCTTAGAGCCCACCGCCCTCTTGTTCCTGTACCTCACACCCAACCCCAGCCTGACACACTCACACTCGAATGCCCCACTGCCTCTGACTGTGATCTCTCCTCGGTCCTCTGAACTCAAGGGACCCTAATTTCTATAAATCTGTCTCAGAGGACCCAGGCCTTAGTCCTGTCCACTAGGCCCCAACCACCTGGCCCTTGGGCTACACTGCCTTGCATATAGCATATGCATATGTGTGTACATATATGCCCTGTCTCTTCAGGAACACTGGACTTTCCAAAGACCAGGTCTGGTAACTTTCTATAATTCAATCATTTGGGCCACTGTAGTCATTCAATAAATGTTGATTGGGTACACGAAGGTAAAAATTTGTTTCCCCCTTAAGTCAGCCCACAGCAACAGTGCCTGGGCATTCCAGGGAAGTTAAGAACCTGAGCACACAGTACCCTGGGAAAATGTCTAAGCAGTATGGTTGGGATAGCAAGCAGGTGGATGTGAGAGAGCCACAGGAGGGGCCGGCTGGTCGGCAACTGTGGGCTAAAGACAATGAGCCTCGTCCAGAAAGCATTGGGGGAACAAAGGAAGTAATAAAATGGTCATCGTGATGAAGTTCTCATGATCTCGAGGTGGAGGCAGGAAGACCCATCTCCTGGCCAGGTGTTGCTCTGTTGCCTCCGATGCAGGCAACAGAGCCAACAGTGGGACATGGCTAGGGGAATGGAAAGACACAAGAGGAGACGGACATCTCAGAACAGGAGTGGGTGAGACCTCCAGCAATTGTAAGTGAGTGGGAGTGCGCCATGTCTGTCCGGGGCCTTGAGAGATAAGCAGAAAGTAAGCTACTCTGTTGGGCAAGCCTCGGGTGTCGTGTACCTCAGGGGAACATACCCAGCGAATGGCTGCAACCAGAACTGGAGGCAGACTCAAGTGTTCTCTGTACAAAGAAAGGAGAGCCTGGGCAGTGACCACTCACGAGGGACAAGGATGAAGGAGACAGAGGGACAGACAGAAGCAAAGGGACATGAAGGTGAATGCCCAGGATCCGTCAACACAGTAGAGTCCGGGACAGGGGAGGCTGGCAGGCCATAGACTTATTTGTACTTCCATTGGCTGGGTTTTCTACCATCCAGGAACTCTGCAAAGCTGTGTGCAGGAACGTGTCTACTTGGGTATAGATACAGGGAGAAAGCTGGCCCTCCCTTTGCACCAGGCAGTGAAAGGCTTTTCCTGCTTACACACTCCCCCTGTTCCCTTTGCATTTCAGAGGGGGAGAAATGCAGGCACAGCAGACCCCTGTCACCCAGCTTTAAGGGACAGAATAGGGATGTACCTTGGGCTGCTAGCTCCAAAGAGAGCTTGTAACTAATTTGACACATGGTCACAGGTCTTAGAGGAGAGGGGGAAAATCAATGCTGGGCCAAGGGCAGCCTTTGCTCAGGATGGCAGTTGCTCTTGGACTCTTAAATGAAAGGAGCCTGGAGTCCTGTGTTCAACACTGGAGGGTGCCACCACCCTCTGACCCTTTAGGGAGGGAGGCACCTAGTAAAGAGAGTTCTCAGGTTAAAAACTCAAAGCTAGCAGAGTTAAGGACTTGTGGTAGAGGTGTGGGGAACCTCTCTATAGACTCTAGAGCCAGCCTCTGAGCCTGCATCTGGCCAACTCTTCCCCAGTGTGAACCCCTGCTTTCTGTAAAACAGATGCCATACTATCTCCCTCACACTTGCACTGTGATGAGCCACAGAGGCTGATCCAGCTTTGATTATCCATGCTCAAGCACAGGTGTCTTCTGACTCACCCCTGCTTCTCACCACCTTACACCCCCAAAAAGCACGGCTTTCCTCCCAGGGTTAGAAGCCTCCACAGTTCAGTAGCTGTCATGTCAGATGCAGGGAGACCTTATCATTCACTAGAGAAGTGGCCTTGAATATGTCCCTAATCCCATGGGCCTGATTTCCTCACTTTTAATATGAATATATGAAAATAATAAAAATATATGCAAAGTTGTTTATTTTCTCATAGAAATCCTCAAACCAGAGGGGCATGGTGGTGCATTCTTGTAATCCCAGCATTTGAAAGGCAGAGGCAGGTAGATCCTGGTCTACCTAGTGAGTTCCAGGTCAGCCAAGACTGTATAGTGAATCCCTGTCTCAAAACAACAACAATCTTCAAACCATACAGATAAATCAAGAGTCTGCTGTGAACCCCAATCCTCTAATATGAGGCCTCCCAGAGGGCAGTGCCTGGAATGGTGTGTTTGGCATTTTACACATCTGTGCCTTTGTATTTACAATGTACCTAGAGAAATACAGTGTGTGTGTGTGTGAGAGAGAGAGAGAGAGAGAGAGAGAGAGAGAGAGAGAGAGAGAGAGAGAGAGAGAGAGAGAGAGAGAGAGAGAGAGAGAGACAGAGACAGACAGAGACAGAGACAGACAGAGAGAGACAGAGACAGAGACAGAGACAGACAGAAGCTGATTTTAACTCAGGAAGTTTAGACTCTGCAGCTTGTAGTGTTCATTTCATCATATTTCTTGGGTTCTTTCCAAGTGTTCTTCGTGTCCTAAAGATTGATGATCAACTATGAGAGAGGGGTGAAAAGGTCCCTGAAGAACAGAGCTATCTAGCAGAGGTATAAGGCCAAGAAGCAGCAACAGAGGCAGAACTGAGGTACACAGGGAAACTCGCTCCTCACCTCCAGCCTCATAAAGCTTTTAGCCACAAGTTCCAGACAAAAGCACAACTCCTGACAAGGACACTCAAACAATGTTCACAGGTCCAGCCATCCAGTTATAGTGACATACGTGGCAGCTTCTGCAGCTGCCTCTTCCATTGCACTGTGGGGCGGGGGGGGGGGGGGGGGGGGGGGGGGGGTGTGGGGTGTCTGTGTGTGTGTGTGTGTGAAAACAACCCCACAGTGGCAGAGCTGGCTACCTGCTGGAAGCGAAAGGACTCGGATCGTTTCTTCTGGTTGAGTTGCCATTCTTTGAAGTGCAGTACAGCCTCGTCCACATTGACAATGCCCAGCTTCACCTGCTCCTGCAGGGTAATGAGCTGCCTCTGGCCTGGTGTTTTCATCCCAGCAAATGGGTCGTAGATGCTCGATGGGGGCCTGTCCCTCCATGGCCTCACCGGTGGCTCTGGAAAGAAGGGCAGTGACAAGTCAGCTGGCTAAATCCCAGCTGGGAAAAGCAGACCTGAGAAATGGCAGTAATGGTGGTGGGTACAGGGCCCAGGGAACAGTCTGCCACAGCCAGAAGGAACAACGGACACATAGAACCAAGACGGGGGTGGGGGTGGGGACATGGAATGAGGAAGGGGAAGTTGCTGATAATTTCAAAGCCTGCTGGAGTAAAGCAGACAAAGCCAGAACATGGAAGGGAGGGGCGAAGTCTGCTGAGCACACTGAACTTTGACCATGAAAGCATCAAACCCAGCATTTCTCTGCCTAGAGACTGCTGATATTTTGAGATGGACAGCTCTTCCTTGTGGGGGCTTGTTCTGTGCATGAGGCAGTAATGAGTAGTATCTCTGGCCACTACTTACTGGGTGGCTTTCCTTGGATTTGGCAACCCAAAATGTTCTCTGATATTGCTAACTGTCCTCTGTGGAGGGAGGGCATATGCTCTCTATTTGAGAGTCACTGCTTTAGACATAAATCCACTTACAGACCAGAACAATACACAGGAAGAGTCCAGACAGGAGGCTTCTCACAGCCCGGTCTCTGAGAAATGGTTATGGACTGATGGACACAAAATACCAATGGAATTGCCACCCAGGTCCAGTGGCATTGGTATAAATTAGGAGCCCAGTTCCAGCAGGCTGCCCTTGGGTTGTTCTGTGCCAACCTCTATTTCAATGTGGTTGAAGGACAGCTGTCCACTTCAGAGGCTGTAAACCAGCCAGCCCCTCTCCAGGCTGCACCTCCAGTTCTCTGGGGAATGAACTACTTGCAGAGATGACGGGGGCACTGGGACATGTGAAGACAACTTGACATCTAGTTCATGTATCGTGTTCCAGCTCTCCCAGGTGACTATTGTCTTTCAGGAATGCCTCTGAACGCTTAGAAACTGCTGGGGCCATTTTCCTAAGTAGTATTAAGTGATATAACACTGAATGCCTAGGCCTAACAAATCCCCACTCAAGGATTATGGGGAGCACTCAGTTCCTTTCAAACTTTCTTAAATGATCTTTGGGAAAACTGGATGTCCCAGTGGTTATTCAACAACAAGAAAGTAACTTTAATCCAAGTGGACTCAAAGCATAGTGGAGCTGGTAAAGACAAGGCAAGCAGATAGTTCAAGAGGGCTGTGCCACAGGCGAAGACTTGGCGCTGGGCCCACTGCCATGCTGTTTGGCACCAGCCTCTATTCCCTGTTCTACATCGACACCTGTCTATTAGTGCCCTCTCTGGGGTCAATTTGCACAATAATCTAGGGCACCCCTGTCTCTCCCCCTTTCCTTTGCATTCAGTAAGAGGTTCTCAGATGTCATCCCTGAGCCACCACTTAGATCTCTCTACATGAATGTCACATTTCAGCTGCCACACTTGGCCATCCTTACTACAGGAATACTCCTGGAAGTTCAGTTCACGTGTGGGAAGCAAGGACAAGCTCTGGTTTACCTTTTCTGATGTTCTCTGAAGAAACATAGAAATTTCCGAGCCGCTCCTGACTTTTTTCTGCAAAAACTGTGATGGAAAGAATATTCTGAGTGAAGGCAAGATAACTTCTCAGAGGCTCTGTCATGCATTTATAAACATTTATAACATTTATAACATTTATAAAATGTTATACATTTACAAAAATAACCTTGTATAAAAAAAGTAATAAACATTTAGTTATGATCATTGTGCACAAATTTCTGGAAGAAAGAGAGAGAGAGAGAGAGAGAGAGAGAGAGAGAGAGAGCAGAGAGTGTCAAAAAGACAGGACAGACACAGAAGTTCTCCAACTTAAGGACAAAGGCAGCCAGAGGGAATCAGCAACATGTCTAGGATTGTTAAAGTAAAGGGTTAGCCATGCAGTAGTGACCCATGCCTTTAATTCCACTTGGGAGGCAGAGGCAGCCAGATCTCTGAGTTCAAGGCCAAGAGCTACACAGAGAAATCCTGTCTGAAAAAACAACCCCACCCCCTGAGAGAGAGAGAGAGAGAGAGAGAGAGAGAGAGAAGAAAAAGGAAGAACAAGGAAGAAAGGGTTGTAGAGTCTGGAGAAATGGCTAAAGTGCTTGCTGTACAAATGTGAGATCACCAGCATCTACATCATCCACATCCAGCATCCACATCCACAATTCACATCCACATCCACAATTCACATCCACAATTCACATCCAGCATCCACATCCACAATTCACATCCACATCCACATCCACAATTCACATCCACATCCACAATTCACATCCACATCCACATCCACATCCACAATTCACATCCACAATTCACATCCAGCATCCACATCCACAATTCACATCCACATCCACATCCACAATTCACATCCACATCCACATCCACATCCAGCATTCACATCCTGCATCCACATCCACATCCAGCATCCACACCCTGCATCCACATCCACATCCACAATTCACATCCACATCCACATCCACAATTCACATCCACATCCACAATTCACATCCACATCCACATCCACATCCACAATTCACATCCACAATTCACATCCACATCCACATCCACAATTCACATCCACATCCACATCCACATCCAGCATTCACATCCTGCATCCACATCCACATCCAGCATCCACACCCTGCATCCACATCCACATCCACAATTCACATCCACATCCACATCCAGCATCCATGTCCACATTCACATCCTGCATCCACATCTGCATCCAGCATCCACATCCAGCATCCACGTCCACATCCAGCATCCATGTCCATGTCCACCACACTGGGTATGGTGGCCCACATCTGTAACCCAGCACTGGGGAGGTGGAGACAAGCAGGTTCCTGGAGCTTGCTGGCCAATAGCTGAATTGGTGAGCTAAAGCTCAATGAGAGATGCTCTCTCAAAAAAACTATGGTGGAACAATTGAGTGCTACCCAGCATCAAACTCCGACCTCCCAAAGGCAACTATACAAACACATGCACCAATACATACGACACACAAGGAAGGGAAGAAAGAGAAAGGGAGGGAGGGAGGGAAGAAAATTCTGTGAGAGGAAGGATTGTGCCAGGTTCCCCCAAACAGACTCATCTGTGAAGACCTGCAGCCAGAGAACAAAAGCAGGCACCTACCACCTAGTAGGTCCATCTACTATAAAGCAGAACTCTACCTGGTAGAACAAGTAAAATGTGTCCCTCCAGAGGAACCAAGATGAAGTCACTCATGAGAAAAGGCATAGGACGACAGAGGGGACTGGAAAGTGAAATGCTCTGTCGGTGGTAGGATGACCAGGTCATCTCATAGCTCCCTGGGATCTGAAGGAGACTCCCTCAGTTAAAGTACCCTGCTCTGCCACTTCTGTGTCATAGGATCTTGGGCAAGAAGCTTGACTGCCTCCATGCTTCTGTTCCTTTTATGGAGAATGAAGACCATAAACAGTACCTCTGTTGGGTTGTCTTGTGAATTAAGGACTAATGCATAGACAGTGTTTAAAACACAGCATGGCACAGGTAAGCAGGCAACATTAGCTTTTATTATCATTATTCATTTCTAAGCTCTGAGGCAGATGACAAAGGAACAGCAATGGCATGCTAGCTAAAGCAGGTGAAGTCTATTCGGTGTCTCCCAGTTTAAAAGTACTTCCTTGGGGAGAACAAGAGGGAGGGGAAACTGTGGTCTGGATGTAATATATGAGAGAAGAATAAAGAAAAAAATGAACTTCCTCATGTAGTATTTCATCTGACCCTCATAGCAAGGTTGTAGCAGAATACTGTCATTTATCATGCATTAATGTAGACACCTATTATCATGATAACCATTTCTAGGTAAGGAAACTAAAGCCAAAATGGGTAAAGTGACTTTATCCCATGTCCTATGCTGTGGGATAAGAAGTGAGAGATGAATCTATTCCAAGCCACTGCCCCCACTGTCACCGTGTGACCTACTGTCCCTGTCTCCACTGCCTCTCTGCAATAAGTCGCCACCTTTTCTCCCATTTAGGAATCACCAAACTGCACATTTGTGGGCTCAGAAGCTGACCCTGAGATAAGGACTGGACGGCTGGCATTCTATCTGGGAAGTGTGGTCGTTACACTTCACTGCCCTCCTGGCTGGATTTAGAATCACCATGGAAACACACTTTTAGTTGTATCCATGAGGGCATTTCCAGAAAGGCTTAGCAGAGGAAGGAAGATCCACCATGGATGGGGGCAGGACCATCCCATGGGCTGATGTCCCAGACTGAATAAAAAGGAAAAACAGAGCCACGCCGTGCATCATATCTCTGTCTCGGGACTGCAGACTCAACATTCCCAGCTGCTTCTCATGCCTGCTGCTGCAGCTAGCACCGTTCTTGCTGCTATGCCTCCCTCACCACGATGGACTGCACCCTTGAACTGTGAACCACAGCAAACCTCTCCTTATCTAAGTTCCAATTATCAGATATTTGTCACAGCAATGAAAAGGCAATGATGACAGGAGGTGACAGAAGTAGGATAGGTAGTGGTTGAGACAGTAAGTGGTGGAATGTCAAGCAAGTTACCACAGCCGGGTGAATGCACAATATGCAATTCAGCGTTCTCCCACAAGAGGGACAGGCACATTGGGATATTTATGTATCTGCTACGGATCGCATAATTGTGCAGAGAGTTCAGCACATACTTTAGGGGTCAATCCATTAGAGATTGATTAAAGGACACACCTCATTTAGCAAGGTGATAAGGAATATTGTCATCAGAGATGAATATCTCAACCTTATCTGCATGATGATAAGGAATACTGCCTTCTGAGTGTGTCAAGCTGTCCTCAGTGCAGACTTCTTGTGTGAAGCACTCTCCCTCACAGTACAGCTAGGGGATCCTTCCCACAGCACTACAGTGTGTTAATTGTTTCCTGGGCACATAGTCTGTGGGTTTTCTGGAAGATGGCTTTTCATTTAGTTATATAGTTTTGACATATAGAATATATACTGGGACATGCTTCATAACTGGATCTATTTGTCCCATAAGGACTGTTGACTCTTAACAGTCTGCCTTGTTTTCTTGCTCAGACTACTGCACACAGTTAGCTCACTTTCACCTCAGAGCAAGTTCCAACTAGACTAAAGACTTTTTGCAAAAAGAAAACTTTACAACTTGCACAAAGTCGAAGCCACAGATATCTACCAAGGTTACTAAGAAAAACATGCTAATTCTTCACTTGCCAGTCTAACAATAGACCTGTGTCTTAAAGTTATCCTTGGGCACTGTGCCCTCCCTGTCTGGCCTTAGAATGCTGTATCGCCATGGTAAATGGCTCAGCTCCTTATTGATTGCTCTAGGAATGTGATTTTGACCAATGAGGGAAATTTCTTTAGCACTTCAAGGCTCCTGAAGGAGAAGAGTTTTAAGGATAGAAGAAGCTAGGACAGGGTTATTAGAGCAGAAACAGAACAATAAAGGACACAGGAAATAAAGAGTACAACCCTCAGATGGTGTGTGAGTTACTATAGAAATTTCTTACCCCCTCCTTCACTCCTGGGACGAATCTCACCTTTGGAACCCTGGATAGGGGCTGGAGCAAGTCTCTTAGCCCTTATACCTGTTACTCATGCCTTGAGCAGTGGCCATTTATGCTAATTCCCCGGGGGTTTTCAGTCTTCCCAAAGAGGACAATGGAGCACCACATGCCAGAGAAAGCCCTCAGGAAAAAAGACACAGCAGTGCACTAGTTGTGGAGACTAGCCACTGGGTAATACCCGGTGGGCATGCCCAAGGAGATAGCAAATCTGGTGACATAGAACTTCCCACAGTTGTGGTGCAACCCAACTTAGGGTTCTTAGACTCAGCAAAATCAAATCAAAACCAAAGAAGGAGCACTTGGGACATAGTTACATTAAAAATGTATTTGTGGAGTCAACTGGGCATCCTCTATTTTATCTGGCAACCCCAACCCAGTTACCTGAAGCTCTGACTGGGTGCTCCCTGTCCACTTTTTAAGATATCCTCAAGTCATACCTTCCACGATACAAGCACAGAGCTTGTAATTATGCTCACACTGAACTTAAAATCATGTTAATATAATCAAGTCCCGAAGGAAAGCAACAGTGACTTCAATATATAGCTAGTGTTCCAGGAACAATAATGAAGAAGTCACACTAAATTCTTCCCAACTTTATTAACATGGGTAAGCAGACAGCCTGAGATGGTAGCTAAAACATCTGCTGTGGAGTCAGGGTCCCCAAGGCCAAGCCCTGGCATTATTGTGTGGTGGCTGACCTTTTGAGTCTCCATTTCCCACCCAAAAAAATGGGGATCATGAACCCTAACCTGAAGGGTTACTATAAAGATTAAATGCAAAGGATGTTCCTGGTAGATTTCAACAAGTGCCAGCCATTAAAATGATTAACAGGGGTGACAGAACCAGTTATGAGATGAAAATGTACTAGGTTCTCATTTACCTCTGTCCTTAGGATTGTGCATGAATTGCCCCTGCTCTAACTCCAGAGTTTGTCCTGACCTATGACCTTTGACTCTGGTCAGAGACCATCCAGAAGAAGACAATCAGTTGAGAAAGCCAGGGAACCAGGAAGTTCCTGCTGAGGGCTACCCCTAGCCACACTTGCCTTTAGAAATGTATGGCTCATTGTCTGGTAGGGGGTGAGGGCCAGGAGCACTGGCCTCTGGCCTGGGCACAGGGACAGGGGGTCTGTTGGCCAGGTCCACAGAAAAGGTCTCATCTTCATCCACAGTGTGATAAATATCTTCCCTCTGGGAATGGTACTGCGCTCTCTCCAAACCGACTGATTTCACGCTGTTACCTGAAACACAGAGAGTGGTGATTCAGTACAGTGGTCGAGGAAATTGCATGCCTGCAGGTCATAAGGCCAAGTGAATGTTCTTGTTACCAAAGAAACACCCTGTGGCAAAAGCCTTCCCTTGAGCATTGTCTAGACCATTTGCTCAAAACCCATGAAAGCCACCATGAGAACACCAAGGTCTTCATCTGCCACCCACTCAGCCCAGAACAGGAGCCATGAACTTGGTTGCCTCATTTTTACAGCCAGGGTTCAGTTATTCATCTCAGTATAACTAAGGGAGAGAAAGCACTCCCAGAACCACTTCCTGGTGTTCGGGCGGCTGTAAAACAATGCTCTGAGTCCTCACCACCAACTGCTCCCTGATGCTCCCCACAACGACTATAGAACATGAGTCCTCCTTGCTGAGCACGGTCCCCAGTGATTATTGCATCTGGTTTTCAAAAAAGCTGTGGAGCTGCTACTACCAGTAACCACCGTTTGCATTTGAAGAAAACAACTGAAGCCTCGAGGATTTAAATAGCTTGTCCAAAGATCCTGGGAACCGAGCTGGTACCCAGGAACACTAACTCTGGAGGGGCCCTTCTCTCCACTATGTACTGTTAATCTCTCAACTGCACATTGTTCCCCACTGAGGACAGAAGCTTGCCTTCCTTCCTGCCCACCAACACCCCACACCCCCAAGCTCTCTGTAAAGATCTGTTTCTTTGATCAACACCGTTCAATCAAAAAATCTTCCTCAAATGCCTGCCTGAGACATAAAAATAGAGTCTGGGTCTCCTTCCTGGGGGGTCACAACTCAGTGATTTACTGGGACTTCTGTGTTTCCATTACATCTTTTCTGAGCTGCAGTGAAGTTGCCTTTGCTTCTTGGTGTCCTGTGTCCAGGGGACTGGCCAGGCAGGTTCCAACTCATTAGAAAACATGAGTTCCTGGGCTTATCTTAACATTTTGCACAAGGGGAGGGGAGGAAGGGCTGCAGCAAAGCAATGCATCCTGGGGGAGCTGCAACTACCCGGCAGGGCAACAGTGGCTCTCAGAACACTTGTCTTTCACTGTCTCTAAGCACGCTGGCTTTGCCTCAGTTTCTCATCCTGCTTTGGGAAGACTGCTCCTCGGCTCAGAATCTTCTTCGTGCTACTGTGTGCTAGGCCAGGGCAGCCCCTCTAAGTCTCAGCCACGCTGTGACCTTCCCAGAGAGGCCCTGTTGACCGCCCAGTTTAAATTGAACTGTTATTTATGCTTGCTGTGTTTCATTCCTTTGCTCCATGGCCCTGCGGTGATGGGAACTTATTATATTAGTGGGTTGGACTCCCTACCTTTCTCCCTTCCTCATCTGTCAGCTGCAGAGGGCAGGCCCTGACCCTGGCCCTCCACAGTGTCCTAGAGGAGAACATGGGGCCTTTCATACCGTACATGCTCAGTCACACCCTTAGAATGGAGGGCGAATGAACACTGGGTAAAATGTGGGCCAAGCAGAGATCCGTGTGTCAGATTCAAGCCTCCCTACGGTCATCCTGCCTTCCCTCCCAGTAGTCTCCTGACCTGGGCTGGGCAGACTTTGGGGAACACCAGGGAAAGCTCAGAGCTGCTACATTATCAGAGCAAGAGGCGGTCTCGTCTTCTACAGAAGAAGAAAGCTTCATGGCTTCAGATGCCAAGAGAGGGGCAGACTTGTGGAGAAAAGGTATAAATAGGATTTCTTCCTTAGCAACATATGTCTACAGGCAGGACATTTGTAAGGACTACTTTTTTGGGAAGCTCTATATTATTATGGGTCCTGTGACATCCTCCCCCATCCTGTCAGCATCTCCAGACAATCATACCAATCCCTCGGCTCCTGCTGCCCAAATAGAAAAAAAATTTCAGGAACCATGTCCTGTCTTACCCAAGCTGCCAGGTTCCCTAGAGACAAAATATACTAGAGAAGCAAAAGAGAGACAAATGCCAGGACATGGGTCACCCACAGCCGAAGGTCACCTCAGAGGAACTCAATCTGCTGTTGGGTCCCTGACAGGACAAATTCTGACCCATTCCTCAACCTCTCCCAGCATGATCCGATTGTGCCATTTAAAGTCATTAACTAATGATTTAAACAGACAGTTGATATGTGCCAGACATTGCTCTGTGCCAGGCCCCACATGTCCCTGGGGGCAGAAAGTTAATCCTGCCTAGATCTCTTTATAACGTTACTGCTGACTGGCTGAAGGCCACATACATGGACTGAAGGACAGGTCTTCCAGGCTGGGCCTGGGCCACTTGTCTTACCTTACATCCACACCTCCCTTCTCTCCCTCACAGAAATCAGATCTGTTGTGCCCCCATCCCCAAATTCTTCAGAGCTGCAGAACACAAAGAAATGCTTCCAGAATCACATGGGGTAGAAATGAGGGGCTACCGGTGATTCCAGTTTCATCGGTCATAGATGCAAAATTCATTTCATAGATGAAACCTCTGCTCAGTATTTGTATGAAAACAGTGTTCTGGTCCCATTTGTAACTTCTGGTAGAAACTGTGTGAGCTCAGACCACTGAGCCACACAACACTATCAACATCGTAAGATGGACTCCCTGAGACCCAGCGATTCTGTTCTGGTGCTTCACAGTATATGTGCTCTTAAACATGTGCAAGACGCCACACACAACAAAGGGCATGCCCTGCACTGAGGCTCACAAAAGCACAAAGCTGAAGACTGGCCAACATATGCGAATGTCTAGGTGTCTGTGGAAAAGTTAATATTTGTGCTGATACAACCTGCGAATTAACAAGAAAGAAGACACATGCATATGATATTAATATATCCAGAAAAAATCTAGAGACTTTTCTCATTGCTTTAACTTTTGGGGACAGATGTGGTGACTCCCATCTGTCGTCTGCGCAGGTGGGAGACAAAGGCAGAATTGCTATGAACTTAAGGCTAGCCTGGGTTAGATAGTATATATCAGACCAAACAGGTCTACATAGTCTTGTCTCATTCAGGCATGTGTATTTGTATGTGTGTGTCTCTGTGTGTGTGCATGTGTGTATATGCCATGTGTGTGCAAGCTTTTTGCATCACTTGAATTTTTATCATTTTTATGTATTATTTTTACAATAGTAAACAACTATAGCACAGCAACAGGTGGGCATTGCAGAGAATGAATGCAGGTTCCATTGTTAAAGATACAAAAAGAAAAGATCAGAGTGCTGTTTTATAGTCAAGACTCTCACAGTGACCCGATGGCCCAGCAGTAGCAGAGTCACCTGATATTGAGAGGGAAGGGGACTACCGAGTCCCACTTAGAATTGATTGCTGAATACCACACTGCTGAGCCTGTGCCTTCGAAAGCACTCCAGGTGGGTGTGAGGCACATGGAGATTTGAGAACCACTCCCAAAGCGGGGAGATGAGATGGGGCAAACTCAGCCCCACCAGCAGGCACTCAACACCTGTGTGTCAGGGAGCGGAAAAACAACTTCCTTATCCCATTATTCCAGAGTCTTGAGGAGGTTACAGTGAATGGCCTAACTTCAGGGTGATTTACCCTAATCTGGCAAGGACCAGTCTGCCTGTGTAGACTCTCTTGATCCCCCTAAATAACACACGGCTCTCCTGCATTCCCACAAGCCAGTACCTTTTTACTTGCACTGAACTATGCTTTTTTTACTAAAGGAGAACTCACTGCGGGCCTGTGTCTCCCTCCTCTGCAGGGCAGAACAGAGTCTTCTGCATCCCTCGACACCAGGGATTTGCAGACTTGAGGCACGATGGAGGACTGCTGGGAAATGAGCATTTCCACCTGGTATCACGTGAGATCAAGATGACAAAAGGCTGTCATCTGGCTCCTAACCTTTCATAAGATGAAGTGCACCCAGTGGTCAAAGGAGGCACCCTGAGCAAGGCTCCACAGGCAGGGCTTGAATTGGGGTTCGATACTCTGTTTACTGCCTCTAGGACCTTGGAAACTCACCCTCTCTGTACCTCTGGTACTTCTCCTGTCTCCGGCTGAATAAAAGGAGCAGTACCTAACTTACACAGTTGCAAGAAGCATAGAGTGGGTGTCATAGAGTGAGGCCTGGTGCACTGCCTCAGGCAGTAGGGCAAGCCTGAGGCCAAATAATGAAGTTGGTCAGGAAAGCCCATCTCTGCTCTCGTCTATGCCCCTTTTGGTGCCAGGTGCTAGACGAGGAACTCACCAAATAGCTGGTCCTCAATTACCCAGCCCTCTCTCCTCAGGTAAAGAGAGTCAGAGACAGAGTCAGCAAACATGTTTTAAAGATTCAGATAAAAAAAAATGCATCAGGCTCTGCAGGCCAACAGTCCATTGCAACTGCTCAGACCTATACTAGGAGCATGCAGGCAGCCATAAATGATAGCAAATGAATGGGCATGGCGAATTCTGATCAAACGTTATCGGCAGGAATGGGCAGGCGCTCAGGCTGTGATTTGCCTACAGTGTCCAAACCATCTGACCTCTGAGCCTCATGCCCTCAGGGCTCTGCTTCTACAGCAACTTGACTGACAGACATGCCACAATCATAAGTCACTGGCCAGAGAGAAGCAATCACTCACACAGTGTAGCACCACACACCTCTGAAAACACCTCAGCCTGCCTGCTGAACGCATCAGGCAGGACGATCTCATCGCTGTTCGGACCACATGCATCTCATTTTACAGCTGAAGAGAACACCTTGCCTGAGGCCTTCCAGATGACTAAAGAGGGAACAGAACACAGATAGGGGCCACATTCAACCACTGCCATGCTGCCTCTGCTTGGTAAAGAGGGTATACATACCTACCCTTTACTAGAAAGCAAAGGCTCCCGTGGGATCACATCTTATTTTTCTTTGGGTTTCCAGCCCCAATATCCAGAACAGTGCTTTCTGCACACAGTAGGTGATTAATTATTTTTTATCAAGTAAAAACATACATGTAGTTTAGATGAAGTCTTTTTAGAAGCAACTAGTTTAGTGTTATGAATGGATCTAGTCGTAGGAACCTCTGGCCTGTCTCTAACAGGTTGATGGGGAAGGTGGCGCAGATGTGGAGGGAAGCAGAGAGCCTTTGGTCATCGCATGCCGTGTATGTGGCAAGCTGTCCCTTGAGACCAGCACTTCACGTGAATTCAGGCAACACCTTCTGCTTGCTTCCTTTCAGCTCTCTAATTTCCTGATCACAGCGACAACTTACCTTCTAGGAACTTGCGGATCATTGAGTCCTTAGTGGGCCGAGAGAAACTTTCTCCAGAGCCTGGGTTACCTGCACTGGCCTGAAGCATTTCAACATCTGGAAGGAAAATGAGACAGAGTTAACGTGCTTTTCTTCCACGAAGGCAAGGAGACTGACAGATGGACTTGGAAGGCTACCCAAGTCCCTTCCTCCCTTCCCCACTTCTCCCTGTTCCTCCTCTCCTCCCTCCCATCCACCCACCCGTCTGTCCATCCATCCTTCCTCCTTCCCTTCCTTTCATCCACCAGTGTTGAGCATTAAGGAAAGCGATAACCACACACCCCAAGCCTTTCCTTGCGTCACAGGCCTCCAAAGACACAGGCATGCTCATCTGCATTGGAAAGACTAGGTTTAATTTCAAAGAGTACACACTGCAGTATTGCCTATTACAGAAAAAAAAAAAAAAAAAAAAAAAAAAAAACCCGAAAAAAAGGGGAAAAGACAAGAACAGACAAATCATAGTGTGTTCGAACGACTGAAGATTATGTAGCAGTTTTTTAAAAAAGAATGTCTTAGAGCCACTTCTACTCTAGCCCCAAAACATAGCAGGCAATGAGGCTACATGCAGGTGATTACAGTGTAATGACAGGTACATAGACCCTGAAGACCTACAACACAGTGCTGTAGATTGCATATAAATTAATAAACATACGGTTGGATTCCTGACAGTGGCTACCTCCAAGGAAGGAGTGAAGATGATCAGGCCCCAGAGAGCTAACAGAGGACTGCACCCAGGGTCACAACACTTCATTTTTTAAACCTTGATATATATTATTGAAGATTCAGCTATATCAAAAAAAAATATCAGGACTTTAAGCCCAGCAGAGCTCTGTGAGTTCAGGTCAGCCTGGTCTATGTAATGACTTCCAGGACAGCCAGAGCTAGATAGAGAAACCCTGTCTCAAACAAACAAGCAAAAAAGAATCTGAATCTTCAAAATGATATTTTATATAATTAATATACTACCTTTATAAGGCAATGTAAAATTTTATCCTTATATTTACACAAATATATATGAATTTTGTATCCACATGCACTCTGCTGCAAGGAGATATAAATAATTAAGACTCTGGTTTCTTGGGTCCTGAGGATATGGAGATAAACAATGGAGAAATTATCCTACCAGTCCCCTTGCTATATTTTAAGGACTTCTTTCACCTACTCAAAATAAATAAATGAGCCAGGCAGTGGTGGTGCACACCTTTAATCCCAGCACTCAGGAGGCAGAGGCAGGTGTATCTCTTTGAGTTCAAAGCCAGCCTGGTCTACAAAGCAAGTTTTAGGACAGGCTCCAAAGCTACACAGAGAAACTTTGTCTCAAAAACTCAAAACTAACTAACTAACTAACTAAATAAATAAATAAATGCCGCAACAATGTTTATGCTAATGTATTATTGTCCCAATAAATTATTTCATAATCCCAGTCCGATCATAGAAAACAGTTGAGAGTTCAACAGGTCCTCTTCAAGAGTACGGGGACTGAGAAAGTCTGAGAACCGCCCAAACTGGAAGGGATGGAGGAAGAATCTGGGGCCATGAAACAAAAGAGGATCAATGGTGGGAAACCCGGGAAACATGAACAAGATTCTTAGTTCCAGCAGAAGGATGCTAATGCCATTTCCTCCCTGAGATCTTTGTATTTGGGGTGATAAAGACGCTAATGTTAGGCAACACGGGGAAAGAAATGCATGGACTTTGGTAGTCTGCAGTTATTTTTTCTAAAAAACAAAACAAACAAACAAAAAACAACGTAAGGCCATTTTTCCCCAGTGTCAAGAAGCAACCCAGGGCCTTGCACAACATAGCTGATTGCTCTCCACTGAGTGCTCACCGCCAAGCTGTATGCTCACCACTAAACTGAGTGCTCATCGCCAAACTCAGTGCTCACCGAAAAGCTAGAACGCCAACTCCAAAATAAAATTCTTTCTGAGGAGAGGAATGGCTGATCAGAGGAGTGACTTCAGCAGAGAAGCATCAGGAGGCCACGTTCTGTCCCCTGTGCCATCAAGATAAGCCCCTTCAGAGGACTTGCAGAGCAGGCTTGCTCGGGTTAAATGATGGGGGTGGGGCTAAACTGGCTACCCTTGAAAATCCAATGTGCTTTACTTTATAGTCATGTTTCCACTAATCCCTAAGAGTCTGACTTCAGAAGCAGGAAACCCAGGCTTTGCCAAATGTCAGCCTTTGTGGGCCTCAGACAGAAGGCTGAGTATCAGATCACAATACACATCCTGTCTTTTTTTTCTACTCCTTCCCTTTTTCTTCCTTCCTTCCTTCCTTCCTTCCTTCCTTCCTTTCTTTTTTTCTTTTTGCTTGTATGACATCACACCTACCAGCCTGACCCCCAACTAGTCTTTTATGGTGGTTCTCAACCTGTGGATCCTGACCCCTTTGGGAGTTGTGTATCAGCTGTTCTGCATATCGGATATTTGCTTAATATTCCTAACAGTAGCAGAATCGGGGTCGCCACAACATGAGGAATTAACTATATTAAAGGGTTGCAGCATTATGAATGCTGAGAACCACCGGTCTAGTAGAGCATTTGTACCCACAAGATGGCCCAGGTCAGCATCATAGTGGCAAGAAAGCCTTAACTTAGCAATCATGGCCCTAGGAAATGTGAACTCCAGCAGGCAGGGCAGAAGCTACTCTGGAAAGGCCTATAACTCTAAAAGCACATTTCTCATCTTATCTCCAGAAGTGCAGTTTCAAGGGTCCCCACAAAAGACACGCCAGAGTTATTTCCCCGAGAGACTAAGAGCACAGTCCCTCACTAGTATTCACAGTTATGTACAGCTCCTCCCATATCCAGATATGTGACCAATCAGGGGTCATTCTCATCCTAGGTAATGTTGCCTAGAAACACAGTTGACATTTGGCTCTTATCGGGTTACCAGGGTAACAAAGCTAGGAAGTCAAACAAAGGTCAAATTCTCATGCAGAAAAGGAAATGAAAAGTGTTTCTATTAACTTTGGCCATCATTATCCTGGGTCCACTCATTTCAATCCATTCCGCCTCTCTTTTCTTGTCTGTAAAATGATGGTGGTAACAGCATAGCTCTTGAAGGTTTGTCATGAGTGTCACCCGAGGAGCCTGCCAAGAGCCTGGCATTGTGCCTAGCATGTATGAATGCTTTCTGACTACTATTTTAGTTATTAAAACCTATACCCAGGCCACAGTCCTAAGCAAAGAACAATTCAAAACAGAAGGCTCGATTTGCATGTTAGGAAATTCTCAGGGTCTGGCATGCAGCTCTCTAGCAGACAGCTTGCCCAGCATGTATAAAATGGTGGTCTTGGTCCTCAGCACCACAAAAATAATTTTCATGCACTAAGGACTGAACTTAGGAAAAAATTTAGTTGACACATTAGTTTATATATCTTTATGGGGTATACAGTGGTAATTTGATATTTTTTACAATTTATTTTTATCATCTTGGTTGTGAGCCATGGCTTTTAACAGCAGAGCCATCTCTCTAGCCTATTTTTATTTGTTAGGGTTTATTTTTAAGATTTATTTATATTTATTATTGTTATTACTACTACTATTACTACTACACTACTACGTGTGTGTGTGTGTGTGTGTGTGTGTGTGTGTGTGTGTGTGCCACAAATGGGTGGGTGCCACAGAGGTCAGAAGAGGGCATCAGATCTCCTGGAGTTGGAGTTACAGGTGGTTGTGAGCTGCTTGACATGGGTGCTAAGAACAGAACTTAGACCTCTGGAAGAACAGCAAGCGCTGTTAACAGTTGAGCCATCTTGCCTCTTATACGGCTGTTGTTGTTTTGGGGTTTCATGTAGCCTACACTTGCTACATAGCAGAGTATCGCTCTGAACTTCTCATCCGCCTGCTTCCACCTCTAAAGTGCTGGAATCACACCACTCTCAGTTCACACAATGATAATCTGATATATATACATAGTAACATTTGCTGTGTAAACCAGGTTAATTAGCAATTCCACTCTTCAAACAGTTACCATTTCTTTGTCTTGAGAATCTCTGAACTTCTTTTAGTTCTTTATAAAATATATAATAGATTTTTATAAACTGTACACATTTTACTGACCAGAACAGCAGAATTTGTGCTCCCTGTATTGTGGTGCCCATTAATTTTTTGTTGCTTGTGTATTTTATTTCTTATAATGTCCTTCATTCCCAGCCATGTGGACACAAGTGGCAAGATTCTATCTTATGGGTAAACATGACTCTTTAGCACATGTACCACGCTTTTCTAGTGCAGCGATGGGCATCTCAGTCAATTCAGAACTTGATAACTGTCAACAGAGCTGCAATAAAAATAGGATATCTCCTTGACACCCTGACTTCATCTCCATTGGAGATGTCCACCCAGAAGTGGGACTGCTGGACCACATCTAGGGTTTTTTTCCCCCATTCTCCTTTCCATAATGGTTGTCCTAACAGTACCTGAGATTCCCTTTAATAATGGCTGTCCTAACAGTCTGAATCTGAGATTCCCCCTTCTCTGAATCCTTGCTAACATTTTTTTGTTGATGTCATTTTTTTTTAAGTCACAGCCACTCTAACTGGACTGAGATGGCACGTCATTGTGGTTTTGATTTGCATTTCCCTGGTGAGTCATGGTGAGCATTTTCATATATTTGCTGGCAATTTGTATATTTTTAAAAAGAAAAGCCTATATAGATAATTTCTGATCAGTTTGTGGTTATGTTTTCTGCTGTGTTATTTGAATTCTTCATATATTTTGGACACTAATTTTTTGTTTTGATACAAGGTCTCTCCATGTACCCCTGGCTGCCCTGGAACTCACAATGTAGACTACCAGGCTGACCCTGAACTCACAGAGATCCATCTGCCTCTTCCTCCCAAATGTTGGGATTAAATGTGTACATCACCATATCTAGACCTAATTTTTTCAAAGACTTTATTTTTAATTATATGTATTGTGTCTTGGGAAGTGCACATGTGTGCAGATACCAGAGATGCCACTGGACTCCCCCAGAGCTGGAACCACAGAAGGTTGTGAGCCACCTGTGAATGTTAGGAACCAAACTCAGGTCCCCTGGAGGAGCACAACA